GCTAGCTTGACTGTTTCCGGTATGATTTCTTCCAAGCTAGAGGTGAGGGTGGCCTGTGGCACGTTGACCAGCTGATAGGTGAGGGTGGTGAGAGCAGGTCACTGAGTTAGTCACAAGCTGCCAAGGGCTGCCCTCAGATCAGGCCTCTAGGGGAGGCGGCAGGGTGGCAAGAACACTCTGAGCCCTGACTCAGTTTACCCATGCAGCCAGCGAGCAGGAGAGAGAGGCAAGAGCCTGGAATCATTGCTGTCCGGCACTGCCATTCCACTCTCCCCCTCGCCCAGCTGGGGGGTCAGAACGGGTCCCTGCTGCACTGCCTCTTCCCCGGGGACTGAGCTAGGAAGGTGCTGGGCAGGGAGGGCAGGCCTGGCGTGTTAGGGAAGCAGCTAAAATGCCCCATTGGATCACACGGGTAGGTCAGGGGCAGCCAAGGGAGACAGCAGGCCTCTGTTAGTCTTGGCCACGGTTGGATGTTGTTGGGTGGACTTGGAATCACGAGCCCCCATGGGAAAGACTAGAACTGCCCCTAGGATTTTCCAGACTATAATCCTCATGGGAGCAGATCCCCACATCTTTGCCCCGTGGAGCCGCTAGGCGGGTTCAGACTGCCCACCTTTGGTTTGGCACATGCTTGCATGTTTTGTCACCAGTGGTCCTTAGACTTGCCTAGCCATGTCGGAAACAAGCGTGTAGAGCCCGTTTTGCATATGGAAATGACTGCAGGGGATGGGCTAGTCCAGGAGTGTGTGAAGCAGCTGGGAGTGACTTGTAGGGGTGGTGGGGCTTGTCTTCAATGGAGAAATGTTTGCCTTGGGTGCAGGCTTTGTGGAGTCTGAAAACCTACACATTCCCCCAGCCGGTTTGCCAAGCAGTTCTGGGGCTCGTGAGTCTCTGCTCGGACTTGGTGGCTGACAGCATTGGCCTGGAGTTTGGAGAACCAGCACTGTCACAGGGTCCCTGAGCTCCCAGTCTCCTTTGGTCACTTTAGACTCAGACTTCTGGGAGCATGCATTCAAAATCAGCTGTAGAGAAAGCTGCCCTCCGGATCATTTGTGAATGTTGAATTAGGAGCCTGACTTCTAAAGTAAACTCCTGCTGGAGTGTCGTCACACGTTCCCTGACCAAAGACAAGCTTTGGTCGGTTCTGTGTTTGCGGTCTTCTTCATTTGGATGTGGTGTCCCGGCCAAGCATCCACGCGTCCTCCTGGGATTAGTGTATGTGCTGCTGTCGCCCCAGTGCCACCCTGGTTAAGCAGCTACGTGGGAAAGGATGTGGTGGTCAGCTTCCGTAAAGATTTACAGCCTTGGGACCCCAACGGGACAGTTCCAGTCTGTCCTGTAGGGTCTCTCTGAGTCACAGTTGATGTGGCAACACCGGGTTAGGTTGGGTTTTTGTTCTGTTAAAAAGCCATCATGAATGTGTACTGCTGAAGCAGATAGTCATTCACACCTTGGTTCTCACTTTCAACTATTGAGACTCTGCAGCGAAACGGTGTGGGGGTGGATGGTGAAAGGGTTGCCAGATTGGAAGAGGGTTTCAAACGTCAACCAAAGCTAGCAGTGTAGTGAGTAGAGGAACTTCTGTGATTGCCCTGGCATTGCTGCTGTTTTTCTCTCGAAGGTGAGTGGGCTGTGGCTTTCTTATCTGAGGACCTTCCTTCCAGGGATCTTAAGCTAGTTTTGTTTCCGTGGGGGAGACTTTGGCTCCACATGATGTGAGCGGGCAGGTAGTGGGGTGGGGTGAGGGTGGGGGAAGGCAGAATACGTAAGGATGGATGCAATGGCTGCGTCTCTGTGTACAATGCTTGCTGGCCTCTGCCCTCTTCTGCCCTGCCCCCTTCCAGAGAGTATCGGAAGTGTCTGACCATTGGTGGTACTCCATGCTCATCCTACCTCCCCTGCTGAAAGACAGCGTGGCAGCTCCGCTGCTCTCCGCTTACTACCCTGACTGCGTGGGCATGAGTCCCTCCTGCGCCAGCACGCACCGCACAGCCAGCAACACCAGCCCGGGGAAGCTGGAGCCCTCGAAGGCAGTGCCCTCCATGCTCGGTAAGTGCAGCCCAGGCACTCTCAGTCCTCCGTCTTGCAGCTGTGATAGGTCCCTTGTGACTCTCTCGGCTCTGGGCATGCGCAGTGCAAGTGCACAACCCAGGGTGCCCAAGGCTGCAAACCATCAGATGCAGATCACTAGTGGGCCTTTAACCAAGATGCCTTAGGGAGGCTTCTGACCGTCAGCCTTTTAGCTAGTAGTCCAGCGTCTAACCATTTGCTAACCGCCGGGACTCTTTCTCCCTGAACAAACCAGAAAACCAGACCCACTGCCATCAAGTTGGCTCTGGGACAGGGTCGGGTTGCCCCTGTGGGTTTCTGAAGCTGTAACTCTAGGGGCGTAGAAAGTCTTCATCTTCCTCCCATTGAGCAGCTACTTTGAGGTTAAAATAGCCACTCGGTTACTAGGACTCCGTACTTACTAATAATACTGCGCCCTCTTAATACGTAGATAGATGTGTGGGGACCAAAGGGCAAAGTGATCACGCTCCGAGTGCTCATGAGTGGGTAAGGACACAGTCCGTGAGAGTTTGCGCCTGGGAAGGATGATTGGACAATGCAGCTCAAAAGGCATGCCGTTGGTACAGTTTATGCAAGTGTCATTTGTAGGCATTTGTTTTATATAAATGATCAGAAATAGAACCCAGGACTTAATTCGTGGAAATAAATTGGTTGAGGTTTTGTTGACACATTGAAACAAAAAAATCGATGAAACTATTTAGCAGTAGGGGAACTGTTAAGTACAAAGTCTTGTTTGACCCTTAAAGCCATACTTAGGCGTCCCTAGGTGGCTCAGATTGCTAAGGGCCCGACTAGTAACTGGAAAGGTTAGTGGTGTGAACGCACCAAGACGCGCATCAGAAGAAAGGTCTGGAGATCTCCTTCTAAACAGGTCACAGCCGTGGGAGCCGAGGTGCAGTTCCACTCTGCCCATGTGGGGGCGCCACGAGTCAGAATTGATGTGACTGCCGCGGGGCCAGACTGGCAAACCGCTCAGTGGCGGGAAAATGATCACAGGACAATGACATTGTAAAAGCAAGTTAGCAGACAGCAATTTTCCCGCTCGGGTAAGAAAAAGAACCTGTTAGGTGTGCTATGTGTTCTTAGGGACAGAGCTAAGGGTAAGTTCCACCGCGCCATGTTGCCCTGCCATCTGGGAGTGCTCATCAGTCAGTGACTGTTACTCTGTGAACCTGCTTTTTATCATCTGACAAAATGCCAAATCACACTTTCGAGATGCCGTGTCCTTACTGTGGAAATGGACAACGTATGAAGAGAGAATGAAGGAAAATGCTCAATTAGTTTGCACTTCGCAGGGACTGATCCCGTAAGACAGATTCGAGCTTGTCTCGGCCATGCCTTTGGGTTTGGTGTGGCTTTTCGGTGCATGTGGATTTGGAAGTTTGGTCTCATAGGAGTTACCTGTTTGTGTCTCCTGTCCGTGTCAGGTATGAACAAGTACTTCCAGCCTTTCTACCAGCCTAACGAGTGTGGCAAAGCCCTGTGCGTGCGGCCTGATGTGATGGAGCTGGACGAGCTCTATGAGTTTCCGGAGTATTCCCGGGACCCCACCATGTACCTGGCTTTGAGAAACCTCATCCTCGCGCTGTGGTATACTCACTGCAAAGTAAGTGAAGGGCAGTGTGTGTGTGTGTGTGTGTGTGTGTGTGTGTGTGTGTGTGAGAGAGAGAGAGAGAGAGAGAGAGAGAGAGAATATTCATGGACAACAGTCAAATCCCGCCCCCCCCTTTACCGTTCCATCTTCGCTATGGTCCACCCCTTGTGCCGACCCCTGTGTGTTTGCAGTAGTTTCCAAGCCAGGGGCTCATCTCTCAACAGCATTCTGGTTCTTATCTGTTGTGATCTCTAGGGTTTTCATTGGCTGGTGTTTCGGGGTGGAAATCACCACCCGGTGGTGATCCTACTCTGAGGCTGGAAACTGCTGAAACCTGTCCACCCTGAGTTGACTGCTGGTTTTAAAAGTTCTGCTGGCATGGCTTCCAGCCTCAAAGCAACTTGCAAAACCCAAACTGCCAGGCAGGCTGGTGGGAAAAGAGACACACGATACATTTTTCGTTGGAATGGTTTGCAGGTGTAAAATCAAGTGACGTTAGCCATCCCCACGATGCTGTACAACCATGCCTAGGGTTTGTTTCCAGAACGTTTGCATCATGGCAGATACTTGGGTTTGGCAGTGACTCCCCGTTTTCCTCTCTTCCCACCCACGAGTAGTCACCAGCGGCCAGTCAGCTTCCTGTGCCTGTGCACTTGTCTGTTCTAGTTATTTCAGTTAAGTGGGATCGTGCAACATGTTTTCCATCTGCGTCTGGCGTATTTCACCCAGCATAATGCTTTCAGGGCTCAACCCGTGTTCAGGTGGCTGGAGAGCACCTGCCTTTCTCTGGACTGAACTGAACTTTCAGACAAGGGCCTCTCATCCCCAGTCCTATGGACATCTTGGGTGGCGTACTTCTTGGTGATAGGGCTTTCCTTTGCGTCCTAGCCTGCAGTGCAGTGCCCCTTCCCCCACCCTCCAGCTGCTGGTAGCGCCCAGCTCCCCAGCTGTGGCAACCAGACATGACCACGTGGGCGCAAGGCGGCTGCCTGTCAGAGCCTCTACCTTCAAGATTCTGTGTACTCTGAGCGCTTAATGGCCGGCGACTGAATGTTCAGTGCAGAGTTAGGTCTGAAGAGTTGCAGCGGTGGCAATGCCAGGAAACAAACCAAAACTGAAAGGTTGGATGACAGGCCCTTGAGGGCAGGGATGGCATTCTACTCTTCTGTGTGTTCACCCAAGCAAGACCACCGCATGTCCTAGTGTTGACACCAAATGATTGTTTGGGGCGTTGCATGGCACCCACCTGGAAGAGGTGAAGATAGACCGGCCCACAGGGGAAGAGCGTGCCAGTTTGGCTTTCTTGTTTTGGGCTCTTGTGAGCCTTCTGGTACTTTTCAGATCTATTCAGTTCCCCAGTAGTTCTCTGAGTGACTGTTGAATGCAGGACATTTGCAAGACGCTGCCCAAGTAGTCGACATGGAGGAACTGTGTTCTGCTTCAACTCTGGTATTCCACTGGATTAGACTCAAGCATGCCACCGGGTGGCCTTGTTAAGTTATGGCTGTTCATGCCTTTTATACGAGTGATACCCAGGTGAGTAAGTTGGGTGAGGTGGGATTAACTGAACTCATTTCCTGCCCAGCAGACTCAATACACACTGAACTGAGCAAAACCGTGGGCAGGATTTTCATAAGTAGGTTATGAAACCATGCTTTTCAGAAACAGCCCTGGATTCAGTTTTTTCTTCACATTTCTTTGTATTTGGCCTACCAGTTTGTTGATTTAAGACTACAGAGCATCCAAAAGTTGGTGGAAAGACAGAATTAAAAAGTAAGGGCCTTTTCCTACGAGTTCACCGTGGTGAAACCGTCTTGTGGAACTCATTAGTGGGGCTCTGTTTTCATTTCAGTAGGAAGGCGATATTTACTGTTAGGTACCTGAAGTTGTAGACAGGCACCATAAGTAAGTTTCAAAAGAATCAAAGACGTGGAAATGTTTCTCTGCCTCTTAACACAGCCACACGTCCCCTCTGCAGTGGTTTGGACCATGGCTGTGTGTGTGTGTGTGTGGTATTTGTGGCAGACTTCCAGCACAGACTGACCTTGCTGGGTTGGAGACAGGTGGAGGAGGGCCTGTAGTGAAGACTCTCGGAGCCTGTTTGTTTGTCCTGATCCTGGAAAGAGCCAGCTGCTTCAGTACCTTGGGGTCTGATGTTGGACCTTGTGGTCAACAAGGAAGACAATGTCTGTCTTTGTAAATCAGTTCATGCATCTCTTATCAGTCATGGGAATCTAGCTGCCAGTAAAAACCCCAGTGAAAAACAAAACCAAGCCTAGTGGTCGTGGATGTGGTGACGCTACATGCAGCATGTGCACCAGAGGAAAACGGCTCAGAGGGTTTTCAGCGGCTCCTTTTCCAGAAGTAAAGCTCCAGGTCTTTCCTCCAACATGCCATTGGGTGGGTGTGAACTTCAGCCTTGTGGTCATCAGCAGGGCACTTGGCCATCTGCTCCACTCGGGCACCAGTGCAGGCAGCAAGCTGGATTTCTGTCATCTTTTTGTGGCAGGTGTTCTTGATCAGGGGCAGTGCGTATAATAAAACACAGGGCTGAGCCCTCCTTGTGACCTTCTCTGTTCTACGCACCCAGACGACCTTTTGCTCTTAGGTTGTGTTGAGCCGGTTCCGACTCACAGTGACCCTGCCTGGTTCCAAGCCATCCTCACAGCTGTTCCTAAGTGTGAGCCCATGGTTGCAGCCACTGTGTCCATCCGTCTGGCCGAGGACCTCCTCTTTTTCGCTGCCCCTCCACTGTACCACGTATGATGCCCTTCTCCAGGGACCGGTCTCTCCTGATAACATGCCCAAAGTTCACGAGATGAAATCACTCCATCCTTGCCTTGTTCTTAAAGCTCGTGGTAAATGGTGGATGTGAAGTGCCCTGCGAGTTGGTTCTTGGAGTATGGTGGAACACACTTAAGGTTAACAGTCACATCAGACCATCTGAAATTAAACACTTCAGTGGTGTTAAGTACACTTACAGTGATGGGCAACTTTCTCCACAACCTTCTCATCACTCCATGAGGAAAGCCCGTCTGGACCCATTAGCAAGTGTTTTCGATGCCCCCCATCCCCACCCCTACCCCGTCTTCTCTGACAGCCTTTAATTGATATTTAGGTCTCTGGATGAGTTTATTCTGCGTAGTCCACTTCAGTGGAACCATGCAATATGTGGCCTTCTGTGTCTTATTTCTTCGGTCCACTTGTTTCCTGGGTTTGTTCTTGCTTAGCCAGCATGTTTTGTGTGGCCTTCCTTTGTGACTAAGAATCCTCTATATGGACGGGCCACACTTTATCTCTTCCTCTGTCCATGGGCACTTCAATGGTCTTAAAGAAGGCTGCTGTGAACTTGTAGAACTGTTTTTTTTTCCCTTTTTTTTCACGTGTTAGTTTCTGTCTGAACATACGTTTCATGTCTTGTCACTTCACACTCCGCAGTGGAATGGCTAGATCATGTGGTTATTCTGCATTTTAACATTCTGAGGAAACGGTAGGGTTTTGTTTTGTTTTGTTGTTATAAGTGGGTTTTCGTTTCCAAACACAGGAAGCCCTCACCCCTCAGAAATGCATCCCTCACATCATCGTCCGGGGCCTTGTACGCATTCGGTGCGTTCAGGAAGTGGAGAGGGTACTGTACTTCATGACGAGAAAAGGCCTGATCAACACAGGAGTTCTGAGCGTCAGCCCCGACCAGCATCTTCTTCCTAAAGATTACCACAATGTAGGTGACTCCCGCCTTAGCATCACCACCATCATGCGTCCTGATAACCTAAACCTACGCCCATTGCCACCGAGGGGATCTCAATTCACTGATCGGCAACGCAGAGTAGAGCCCCTGGGGTTCTGAGACTAGACATCTTCATGCCGTCCTTCTCCTCCAGGAGTGGCTGGTGGGTTTGTGCTTAGCAGCCCCGTACTGAAACCATGGTAACACCAAGTTATAGTAGGGTTAATACTATTTCCTATATACTCTACATTTACCATGTACTACTTACTATATATATGTATATATGTAGAGAGAGAGAATGGTTAATGCTATTTACTAATTACTAATTCATACTGCCAAGGGGTCCGTACTCCCTCTTAGCAACCCCACAGGACAAGGTAGAACTGCCCAGGGGTTTCTGAGGCTGTACATCTTTATGGCAGCAGAAAACCTCATCTTTCTCCCAAGGAGCAGCTGGTGGTTTCCAACTTCGGACCTTGCAGCCCAACACGTGACCACTATACCACCAGGGCTCCTTAATGACTACTTAGTACATGATAATACGTGATAAATGATCGTATGTTACCATTCATAGTAATAAAAGTCACACATCATTGGCATCAAAAAATCTACAAGGAGCATTTCTAGATGTCCTGGTGGTCCGGTGGTTAAGCATTCAGTTGCTAACCGCAAGGCGGATGGACAAACCCACCAGCGGCCGCTCCCATGGTGAACGATGTGGCAGTCTGCTCCATAAACACCAGCAGGGGTCCTCAAACTTTAAACGGGGCCAGTTCACTGTCCCTCAGACGCGCTGGAACAAATTCCTATGCACACTGCACATATCTTATTTTGAAGTAAAAAAACAAATGGGGCAAAAACACCTGGCCAGTCCGATAAATGCCCTTGGCGGACTGCATGTGGCCTGTGGGCCGTAGTTTGAGGACCCCTAATTTACAGCCTTGGAAGCCCTGTGGGGGAGCCCTGTGGGGCAGCTCTACTCTGCCCTATTGGATCGTCGTATGGAAACGTCTTGCGCCCTTTCTTGCACACTGCTGCTCAGTCGGCTCAGAACACACCAACCTTCGGTTAGTCATTCACCTGTAAGTGTTTGCACCCCTCAAAGGACCTCTTTGCATTACGCAAGCATGCCGTTATTGGTGGGTCTAGAATTGGGGATTTGTTGGATTGGAATCGGCATGGCGGCAATGGGTTGAAAGGCACTGGAGAAATTTAAGAGAAGTCACATTGCATGACAGTTAGTGCCTTCAGGAACAACTAAAAACAATACGTTGTTATCATAGTTCTAATTGGGGTTTTTTATATTTTTTTAAGAAATCAGTAATTGTCATTGGAGCTGGTCCATCAGGATTAGCGGCTGCGAGGCAATTGCACAACTTTGGAATTAAGGTAAGATTTGGGGATGCCTGGGCAAACACTCCTCCCTTGTTGCCTGTTTTCGAAGACTTAGAAACCATTCCCGTATTGTAGCAAAGTAAGTGTGGACTCTAGAATAGTCTTAAAGATACAAAGTTTACAAATGTACTAGAAGAAATGTAAAGGAAAACAAAGTCTCATTTCTGGAGAAAGTTTGAGACTCAACTGAGTCAGTTGGGAGTGGTGCTAACTGGAGAGTAGAGCAACAATTCTTGACAGGCGGTTACTGACACACGGTGAAAAAGCAAACACCAGTCTCGGTTGACTCAGCCCACTTCGTGGCAGTGCCATGTGTCTCAGAGTCGGACTGTGCTGCCGTAGGGTTTCCAAGACCCAGGCTCTCGAAAGTCGATCACCAGGCCTGCCTTCGGAGGTACCTTTTGGTGGACTAGACCCTGCAGACATTTGGTTAACAGATGAGTGTGTAGCGGCACTACTCTGGGGTATTGACACAAATGAAGAAGAAAAACTGGTAAAAAGTCTTATTTGTGTAGTAATTGAAGATTTATCATTTGTTGTTCAAAAGTTTCAGAAATACCCAATGAAATTTTCTTAAAACAAATTTAAAGACACACTTTTCATTTTACTCTTTTGGAAAGTAAAGATCTCCTTCTGACAAGCACGATTGCATGAGTCAGTTCACTGAGCGTGAGAGACTCACCACCTTTAAAACACCGTACGCCTTTAAGGTAGTAGCCTGTTTCTCTTTGTTTCCCCCCCTTTTTTTCATTTAACATGTTGTCCTGGGACTGTGTATTCTTTTTATCTTCTCCTGATGCTTCCGGCAGCATTCAATAGATGCTTATAGAATCTTTCAAGATTGCAACCCAAGGCTTGCGTTTTTTCTTGAGTTCGTTCAGTGTCAGATATGCTGATTGACATTGCACCATTTCAGGAAGTAGCATATGAACAAGAACCAAGAGTGTCGAACTGAGGCACTGGAAGCCTGAGCCGGAAACAAGCCCCAGGAATTCACAGAATGCCGATTGAAATGTCTGAACAAGCTGTTGAAGCCTGGGACCTACTAATCTGTGCCAGGAAATTTGAAGACAGCTACTTGGCCAACTGACTGAAGAGATCCCTATTCGTACCCATCCCAAAGAAAGGGGACCCAGCAATGTCAAACTATAGATCAGTGTTATTGATAATCACACAAAAGTAAAATTTTGCTGAAGATCACCCAACAATGATTGCAGCCGTACATTGACAAGGAGTTCAGGATGAATTCAGAAGAGGATGTGAAACAATGGATATTGCTGAACATTTCATTGTTCTCATGAGGAACTTGTATGTGAACCCAGGGCAAACAAGGGAATGATGTGGGAACAGAACAAAGGAATACGGCATGATTTAAAATCAGGAAAGGTGTTTGTCAGGGTTGTATCTGACTTAGACAATGTGTCACTGTATTCATTCAGTCTGTCTGCTGAGCAAATCCTCAGAAAAGCAGGATCCTATGAAGAGGAACATGGCTTCAGGGTTGAAGGGAGGCTTGCTAACCACCTGTGATATGCAGATGACAAGAACTTGCTGAAAATGAGGACTTAAAGCACTTGCTGATGAAGTCCCGGAGTGCAGCCTTCACTATGGATTACAACACATTGTAAAGACCAAATTCCTCACAACTAGACCAATAGGAAAATTTACATCATGATAAATGGAGAAATGCTTGGAATTGTTCAGAATCTCATCTTGCTTGGGTCCACAATCAATGCTCATGGAAGCAGCAGTCAAAAGATCAAAAGACACATTGCATTGGGTAGATTTGCCGCACTAGAGTCTAGAATATTGAAATATGGATGTTACTTCGAGGGCAAAGGTGTGCCTGACTGAAGTCATACTTTCCATTGCCACATACACATGAGAAAGTTGGACTTTGATGAACGGAGACCAAAGAAGAGTCGATGCACTTGAACTGTGCTGGAGGGAAATATTGGAAGTACCACAGACTGCTTAAAGGACAAACCGATCAGTCATGGAAGAGGCATGATTAGAGTGCTCCTTGGAGGCAAGGATGGTGAGACTCCGTTGTCTTGCATACTTTGAATATTGTCATGAAAGACCAGTCCCTGGAGAAGGACATTATGCCTGGTACAGTGGAGGAGCAGCGAAAGAGGAAGGCCCTCAAGATAAACAAGCGGCCATCTAGCTGAAAAGCAAAGCCCACATGGAAGAAGCACAGCAGCCCATGTGATCATGAGGTGTTAGTAGGTTCAGGTATCAGGCATCAAAGACCCAGAACAAAAAATCATATCTTTGTGAATGAGGGGAGTACGGAGTACAGACCCAAAGCCCATCTGTAGGCAACTGAGACTTCATCCCCATACAGAAGGGTCATTGGTAGGAGATGAGCCAGTCAGGGTGCAGTATAGCACTGATGAAACATACAACTTTCTAGTGTCCCGGCCCCCCCCCCCTGCATTATCATGATCCCAATTCTACCTTACAAATCCAGCTAGACCAGAGGATATACACTGGTACAGATAAGAGCTGGAAACACAGGGTCTCCAGGACAGATAAACCCCTGAGGACCAATAATGAGAGTAGCGATAACAGGAGGGGAAGGGGAAGGTGGGGGAGAAAAAGGGAACCAATCACGATGATCTACATATAACCCCCTCCTTGGGGGAATGACAACAGAAAAGTGGGTGAAGGGAGACATTGGACAGTGTAAGACAACAAAAAATAATTTATAAATTATCAAGCGTTGTGAGGGAAGGAAGGTGGGGGAGGGAGGGGAAAAATGAGCTGATACCAGGGCTCAAGTAGAAAGAAAATGTTTTGAGAATGATGATGGCAACAAATGTACAAATGTGCTTGACACAATGGATATATGAATTGTGATACGAGTTGTACGAGTCCCCAATAAAATGATATAAAAAAAAAGGACCCATAACAATGGATTGACAGCAATCACTGCAACAGTGGGTTCAGGCATAGGAACAATTGTAAAGATTCCATAAGACTGTGCATTGGTTTGTTCTGTTGTGCACAGGGTCACAGTGGGTGTGAACCAGCTTGACGGCACGTATTAGCAGCAACAACAGTAACATGTTATCCTGATTCCATTGGTTTAAACTTGTTCAAAGTTACGTGTGACCCAAAACAACATACTGTGTCATTTATTACATCAATTTTCCTTAAATGTATTTAAGTTAGCCCTCCCCATATTTCTGTGACTTTCTAGATCTGACACTTTTCTCCTATTTCAAAACTTACTTTGAAAGGACTTTGGTTTGCCATGCACTCTAGGCTGTTATGCAGTGCACACTGAATTTAGATTTATGGTGATGGAAACATTGCGTTAAGGGTAGGGTCTTACGACCGATTATCAGTACGTGCTGTCAATGAGTTCTACAGAGTTGATGCGAAAAACGTTGAGTGATAGACATATTTGCAGAGACCCAAAGAAGCGACGGAGGCTGCCTCTGTACAAGAAACCTCGCATGGGCGCTGGTGGCTCGGTGTGGAGGTGCGGTTGTCGTTTCATGGGACGTCCCTGTTAATTGACTTCATGCCATGTGTGGTGCTCTGGTGGTACCTCCTGGAGTTCCTTAGAGTCTTTAACAATCTTCCAACGGACTGTGCCGGGCACAATTGTTCTCTCATTCCCTGGAGAATGGAGGAAGGAGCCGGGCAGTGGGGTGGGGGGAGGGCAGGAGAGAAGCGTGTAGCTAATTGTCTCCATGAACAGTCGCCTCTTGGCTGTGAAACCCGAAGGACTGAACAGAGCCCGGCTAATAACCGTTTGGAGCAAAGATGAATCCGGTTCGAGTCTGGTCCCCCCGGGGAGAGTGCACAGCAGAATTTCAGATTCTCATTCGCAGAAAGTTGAGTCACAGAAACCCTGAAACGGAGGTCTTGAGATAACCGTTAACCCTTAAGCCCAAATGACCCCCTGTCGTCATCTTAAAACCAAACAACAGCTTAGCTAGGAAAATTAATATCTGCCTTGAGCATTATGCCCTTTATAAACCACTCCTCATGCCTCTCAAGTGAAAAACATGGGGAGATAAAATAGCCTAGTGAGGGGCTTCAACCTGGTGGGGTCCGGCTCATGAGGTAATTCTCCATAGAGTGCCTTCAAGGGCTACTTCTGGGGACTGGAGGGTGGTTTTAAGAAGTAGTTCTCAACAACAACAAAAAAGGAAGTAGTTCTCTCCTCAGGAAGTTTGGCTTATTTACAAAATTACAGGAATTTTATTACACATGTAGATTTTTTTTCTTAAGGGATAAATCAGCTCGTTAGCCAAGGGTTTAATAGTCCTTATTAGTTTACAGCATGCACTCACAGTCTCTTCTTGGCACCGGATTTGAGGGAAGACTTTCGGAGGGCTTCTCCCGCAGAGCGCTGTTCCTTGTTGCTGGAATCTGGACGGCCCGTTTTCAACATCTGTCCACGCTGGCTTCAGGTCCCACCGCCTGTCTTTAGCATCTTTTCTGTAGGTGTCGAATTATGAGCAAACTCTTTATCTATTTTTATAGTGTATAGTCCCTGGCTTAGGATGTCCTTGAGTTCCAACAAAGTGCACTTAGGTGTGTACATGTCATCATTAGTAAATGGTTCATGTGCCCAGGTGTTCCCTCACAGATGCTCAGAGATTGGATTTATAAAGATACTGATATGAAAGGCTATTGTAATGGGTTTATAGATACCGATATGAAAAGCAATCATAATGAAAACATAAGAAAAAGAGGGATTTGACATGCCGGAAATGGCTAACAGAGTCATCAGAGCAAACCCCATCCATCCTAAGTTGGGGACCACACCCCATTTGTACTAGGGAGCTCTGGTGGCACAGTGTGCAATGGATTGGGCTGCTGACCCCAGGGTCAACGGGGCGTGCCCACCAGGTGCTCTGTGGGAGAAAGGTGAGTCTGTCTCCTGTAAAGATTTATAGTTTCTGAAACCTTAGGGGGGAGCTACTCTGCTCTGTCCTGTAAGGCCGTGGTGAGTTGGAAGTGGCTTGTTGGCTGTGGGTTTGGTTTTGGTTTTGACTCATTGCACTCGATGTCACCTCTAATTTTATTTAGATTTCCTAATTGTCTGTCTTTTAGGTGACCATCTTAGAAGCCAAAGACCGAATTGGTGGCCGAGTCTGGGACGATAAGTCTTTTAATGGCATAACCGTTGGAAGAGGAGCTCAGATCGTCAATGGTTGCAATAACAACCCAATAGCGCTAATGTGTGAACAAGTGGGTTTCTTGAAGATTTGTCTTGTAGAAAAGGAAAAGTTAGGGTGGTCTCCCTTTGCTTGTGTGTGATAGGAATATGCTACTACTAAAGCAGATACTAGATCACAGCACCAGAAAGATTGCTTGTCCCTGCATTCCCTCTGCAAAGTAAATAATGAACAGCGAACAGTTCTACCTAAACGGTTTCTTTATTTTTCCCAAGTTGGCAAATTGCACTTTTATGCTTTTTGTAGAACTCTTGATTAGCTCATACTTTTAGGGCTACCATATTGAGCAAGTGAAATGCAGGGTGTTCAGTTAATAGTGGATTTCTGATAAGCAACAAGTTAACTTTTTTATTAAATATATTTTTATAATATGACAGTGTCCAAAATGTTAATGACTTGTTATAAATGGCCAACGGGGAAACCGACTACTGCCTGCTGTCTCGTGCTGTGTCAGCCTTCCCTTACTTGGAAATGAGTGTGCCCACCCCTCCCTGTAACAGATACCTTCCTCACTCGGACCTTCACTGCTGCAAGTGCCGCTTTGCTGCCGTCCACTCATGCCTAGCTCCCCAAACTTGGCTGATCATTGGTAACTGCCTCGCCATCTGGTGACACTAGAGATCCCTGGGCTCCTCCCCCTAGAGATTCTAATTCATTAGGTGGCAGACGGAGCCCAGGGGTCTGCAGTCTCCCTAGATCCCCAGTTGATTCCAGTCATCAGCCACGTTTAGGAACCTCTGCACCTGATTTGGCTGCTAAAGATGAATTGTTAGACATAGGAGCAGATCAGGTACGTAACCCAGGAACTACTTGTACTGAAAGTTTATTTGTTGTTTATCAGAAATCCACATGGTACTGGGCATCCTGTCTTTTATCTGCCAGCCCTACCGTCTCTTTAGAGACCGGGTCAGCTCAAGCCTTCTAAAATGCTTACTGATCGTAAATTCCATTTCAACTCCTGCTGTGGGTGTTGTATGCCTGTGTGTCCGTTCACAAAAGGGGCCATGGAGGAGAGGGGATTTCGAGGCAAGGAGAAGACGGTGCGTAATGCCGGTGTCTGAAACCATCAGAAATGTTGGCTGAAAACCTCTCGGAGGGCCCACAGCATTGAGGCTGCTGCGCTAGCCTGTATATTCTGATGAAATGACATCTAGGGGATTCTGTATACTTTCTGCACAGCCTGGCTTTATTACCATTCACTTGAGGAGTGAACTTAGCCTTATTTTTGAGGGGTCCTGGCCAACGTGCTCCATGAGAGCCGTCTTCATTTCAGCCTAGAACCTGTAAATATTTTTTTCCAGGGACAGATCTTCACCTTTCTTATTCTTATTATCTTTGAAGCTTGGCATCAGCATGCATAAATTTGGAGAGAGATGTGACTTAATTCAGGAAGGTGGAAGGATAACTGACCCCACTATTGACAAGCGCATGGAATTTCATTTTAATGCTCTCTTGGATGTTGTCTCTGAGTGGAGGAAGGATAAGACTCAGCTCCAAGATGTCCCTTTAGGAGGTATGGGGAGAACGGGATTCTGATATTCCATCGCAGTCTCACTCTCACCTCAGCTCGACTTGCAGTTCCATCGCCCGCCCGCCCGCAGGAAGAGTGTTTTTATGAGCGTTCCTTCAGGCTGAGCTGTGCTCCAGGTTATGTCGGGAGACAGGCAGAGGGGAGCTCACAGCGGGTGCTGGTGTGTGGCTGTGCATGCACATGGGTCTTTCATTGGCACCGTCGCTGGCGTTTTTCAAAGTTAAGAGTTCAATGGGAAGTTTCCCAGAAGAGCTTGCTTATAAGGAAATGTGGCAAACCCTAGGTGACTAACTCTGGTTGTCTTCAAGCCAGGCAACCCTAAGTGTGCAGAACAGCACTCAACCCCCTCGGGTTTGCAGCGCTCCGAGGCCGCTCACTGGGCCATCTCTGGGTGAATTTGAACCACCAACCTTTAGGGTAGGAGTGGGGAACTTAACATTTTATACCACCCAGCAGTAGTAACCCCCAGAGTTAGGAATGATGACATTACTGGGTAACTGTTCACAGGGCAGATTTCTTATCTTTTGGGGGGCCCTTTTGGAGGGAGTGTGGGCAGCAGACAAATGGTTTCCCAGTATATTTTCTTTTAAGAATGCAAGAATGGATGTCATGATCCCAAATGTTAATTTGCACTTATGTGGGGAGGAGCACAGAACCGCAGCTCCTTAGAAAACGTGTTTGCCACAAGCCACACAGCCCAGCGCTTCACTGTGTTGCTGTTTTGTTTTGTTTTTAAGCAAAAGGGAAGAAATTTATTTGGAGCCCATACGGGAAACCCCAGAAGGCCCCCCACATACCCTACTGTGTAGGCAGGCCCAGCAAAGGGTCACCCCATTCACTGCACCCCCATGTCCAGAGGGACTTCCCTTGAGCCCAGCCCTAAAGTCCCAGGACTGGCTGGGGGTGGGGACGTGTACTGCTTCTTAAGTTGAATTTTTCCTAGTCATTCCTATGATCTGGGTATATTCACTTGCCATTCTTAAGAGCATGCCAGAGTTGCGTAAAGTGTGAACAGATGAACTCAATTCGCAAGATATTAATTTGTGAATGTTTGCACTTAATTTCCCAGCTGTTAATTTGCTTCTACAAAGTATTATTTCTCTGTAAGGGTTTTGCCTTTATTTCTTAGTGCTCCTAAAACAAGTTTGTACCACAAGGGGTGGATTTACTGAACAGAAAAGTGTAGGAAGCTCGAAGCTCAAATTCAGGGCAATGGCTGGCAGGAAGGCGCGCTCTTGTAGGCTCTGGAGGAAGTGCTCAGCATTTTGTAGAGATTGCAAACCACATTCCTGTTTCCTTGCTTGCTTTTGTACCGGCTTTCCTTTTTAAACAAACCCAAACCAAATTCAGAGAGATAAAAGTAGTGACATATATATATGAGAACTTTGCTAAGCATTAATTTTATGCCAAGAAGGCATTCCTGCCCAGTCCAACTCAAGTCCATGGGTCTGATGCTAGCCAGGGTGCTCTCCGACTCACAGCGCTGCAGCGCTGCGGGCCGATGTTGTGGAAAGGTGGAGCAGGAAGCAGGGAGATCGCAGGCTGGTGAGTGTAGAGCCCTATGGATCCAGGGTCAGTGGGAACATGGCAGGGTGCCGACAGCTCAGGGTCTTGCAGCCCACCTAGAGCCGTCCCTGGAGGCAGACACGCCCAGAGTCCCAGCGAGGAAGAAGGCCAAGGGCCCAAGAGGGGAGTTACCACGGTCTCTGTTATAAAAGCTCAACCCCAAGGAGGGATCATCAGGCTGTGACCTGACTGATGGATTGAACTCTACCCCACATTTTCACACAGGTCCAAGTTGACGTAAAATCTAACTGCCACAGTAGAACTGCTGACGTTGCCTGTGGGTTTCCAAGGCTGTAAATCTTGACAGTAGCAGACCGCTGCCTCTGTCTTCTCTGAAGCCGCTGAGGGGTTTGAACCACTGACCTTGCAGCTTGTGGCCCTATGAGTAACCCACCATGCCACTAGAGCTGCTGCTTTATATGTAAGGGGACTTAAGAAAGGTTGTTGGGAAATTCCATTATCACTTAACTCCTTTTCCACAAACTTCGTGGAGCCCTTTTGTATCTCAAAAGCGATTGGTCTAAAACACACCCTACCTGGATTGAGCCTCCCTCATAGAACAAAGAACAGCCACTTTCCAGACACAATGACGTTCATGTGTGACCCAGCCCATCTGTTTAGGGGCTGTGATTCAATCCACAGCTGGCTCTCAGCACTTGATGCTGATGCTCATCAGCTCTGAGTGGGGTAAACGTCTCAACACCAGGGGCTGTTCTTTTATTTCTTGTGCCCTGCCTCTCCCAGATTTCAGCCGCTCTCCTCTACCCCCATGAGTGTTGACTGATGAACCATCGTAGCAGCAGATTTTCAGGAACCCCCATGGGTGGGCATTGTGCTTAGGAAAGCAGGGGCAGTGACAGGAAGGCCCTCGGTGACACGGACGGAGTGACGGGCAGCACCACTGGACTCAGCCGCAATGACGGCTGTGAGGGTGGCGCAGGAAGGGGCGGGGCTTCGTCCTGTGGTGAGCAGGTCCCTTTGAGTCGGAGCCGACTCCATGGCATCGCCCACCAGCACCATGTGGGTGGCCTGGGATCCTGACCGAGTGAAACGTTGCCGAGTCCTCGAGGTGGAGAGCAGTTCCCAGGCGGCCTTGCATTCTGTTCTCAGGGTTTGCAAATGTACGCATGTGTGCTGTGCTCCCCCCGAGGAAGCCGATCCTCCCTGCGGTGCATCCATGTGTGTGTCAGCCCTAAGCCTCGTTTTTAAAAAGCTCTTAGGGGGAAGGTCACCGAAAATTAACGATGTCCCTAGTAGTACGTGTTTAGGAAGCTTTCTTTAACATGAGTGAGTGAGTACATCTCTCTATAATAAGGTTAAAGTTACATACTGACGGGCAGTCCTGCGGCTGTATGCGATCTCATAGCCGAGAAAACCAAAGTATAAGTATTCAGGGAGTAGAAAGGACCCCTGTTCTCATTGTGGGCTGCTGGCCACAAGGACACTGGATCAAAGCCCCGCGCTGCTGCTCGGGAGGGAGATATGCCCGTCAGCCTCTGTGAGGAGCGCAGCTTTGGAAACCCTGTAGCACAGTTCTGCCCTGTCCTGCAGGACCAGGATCAGCCAGAATTCCCTCCACGGCATCGGGGTTAGAACAGTTCACAAACTGGATACGAAATCGTTGTTCGTTCACATGAAAGTCACAGTAAAGTCTGTTTACACGGAATTTTATATGCTCTTTTAGCAGTCTTGGCTCACGCCCTCCCCAAAACCTCCCCCCAAATTTAAGGCTGCACGTTGGGGGGGAGGCTGGGTGGGATTGTGCTTGAGGGGCCCTAAAGTGACAGCAAAGGCCAGAGGTCCAGGGGCCCCCTTCCCGCCCATATTCCAGAGGGCCTTGGACACGGATCTATGGCAATACAGTCTGAGAATGGAACATTTTCGTGAGACTTTTGGGTTGTCAGTTAAATGACAAGGTTACAAAGAAGTAACCCGTATAAGACGCTTACAGTCAGTCCGTCAGCCAGGAGGCTGGCTCCAAAGCAGGCACTTTCTAAGCCAGAGAGGATTGGAGAGCGTCGTTAGAGTGACATAGGGCTCGTGTATGTGGGTCAGAACCTCGAATGAGTAGATTAGTTGAGAGCTAAGCTCCTAACAGGCAGCGATTTCTGCCCAGACTTGCCCGCCCAGGTGGTGTTGGACCACAGATGATGGGTGGGCTTAGAGTGGGGGTGAGGAGGGGAGAGGTAGAAAGGGCTAACTGCAGAGTTGGAGCTGATGAAGGAAGGACTCAGCCACCGGGAGGGAAGCCTGGAGGCGGCCAGGGAGCAGGAGGCGGACCAGGGAGGCTGTGGTGTTGGGACTGTGTTCCATAGGCAGGGTTGCTGTTTGTAGTTGCCATTGAGTGGATTCTGACCTAGAGCAACCCCACGTGACGGGTCGAACTGTCCCATGGGGTTTCCTGGGCCGGAATCTTTCCAGAAAGAGAGGGCCAGGGCTTTGTCCCTCGGAGCCAGAAGGTGGACTCGGGCTCGAGCGATTAGCTGAGTCCTTGACCTTTGAGCCACTGGTGCTCCAAATGTAGACAACTCAGTTCATCGCCATCAGTTGGTTCTGACTCTGGCGACCTGCAGGACAGGGTAGAACTGCCACTGGGGGTTCCGAGACTGGAACTCTTCCGGGAATCAGAAAGCCCTGTCTTTCTCCATCGGAGTGGCTGGTGGTTTCAAACTGTGGACCTTGCAGTTAGCATCCCACCTGTAGGCCACCGGAAGCTCATAATTGAAGGTCTTGAGTGAGGCGGAGGGTTGACATGGGGAAGTTTCTTATTGAAAAATTCTTGTTGGGGAGAGCTGGAGTTTAGAGGCTCATATTGGGGGGAGATGTTTAAGCTAGTAAGCAGCTTGAACGTGGAGGTGCTGGAAAAGGCACGGCGGTCCTGTCTCCGAGGGTGGGAGTGGAGTCCTTTTTCTGTATCTTGACCGACAGAAGACACAACATTTCTCCATAGAGCAGAACGGGAACATTTTGGAGAGTCTAGAGCCCAGTGAGCTGTGTTACTGGTTACAGTGGGTTTGGGCTTCCCGACAGAAGTCAACCTTGTCAAGGTGCCCCTTGAGTTTCCTTGGGAAGGGCCTCCCTCCGAAGGGTGTGGTTTTATGGGGAAGGCAGAATGCAGGGGGAAAGCAACTGGAGACCACTGTTCAAGCTGCCTTTTGGCTTGCTTTTGATCCATTCCCACTGCAGAAAAGATCGAGGAGATCTACAAAGCTTTCATTAAGGAGTCTGGGATCCAGTTCAGTGAGCTGGAAGAACAGGTGCTTCAGTTCCACCTCGGGAACCTGGAATATGCCTGTGGCAGCAACCTCCATCAGGTGCGCATTTGAGAAATGGCCTTCACAGGGTGGGTGGGTGGGGGGTTGGGGGTGGTGGTGG